GAACCTATAGTCCAAAAATAACAATCGCTAAATAGGCACAATAAGTTCCCTTATAGCTCTGTCAGCACCTGTCCATCCCACTTTTCTCTGTAAAAACTGATAAAGTAAATAAAGTTCACTCGCCAACACTCCTCCACCGCATCCTCCTTTGATGATATCAGTATCCAAACTGGCAAATAGAGAATCCACATATTCAACAGGGTAGGGAGTAGGTGCATTTTTGTTTTCCTGAGCATCCAAGCTAGCATTACCCGCGATTTCCGCTAATTCATTACTTCTCATAGAGGAACAATGCATTGGAACTAGGCGTGGAGTTGAACCAAGCCAGTCACCACGCTCCTCCAATCAAATGCTACTATCATCAGCATTTCATTCCAGAACCGAGTTTTAATTTGGTTCTGGCGATGAAAGCGACTCTAATCTCAGTCAGGAAGACACCCACTAGAGGTGTATTTATCACCTGCAATGTAAACATTGTAGTTTGTACAGAAATGCAATGGTTTACATTGCAGGGTTAAAATGACAGGATCACTGCACCTGGACCATTTAATTAAGATAGCGTGGTCTGGGTGACTTTAGTGATCCTTTAGGTGTTCGGTTGCGGATCCATTCATCATCTTTATGAAAACGATCCAGGTTTTGCACATTTAAAGCACGGCTGATATTTACTGCTTCCACATTTCAAGTAAGACATGATTTCTGAGCCTTAAAGGGACACTATGTGCACCCACCATAACAACTTATTGTATAGCTCATGGTCTTTTAGTGTCACTGCTCAATTCTCTGCCATTTAGGAGTTAAATCACTTTGTGTATGCAGCCCTAGTCACACCTCCCCTGCATTTGATTTAGACAGCTTTCCTAAACACTTCCTGTAAAGAGTCATCTAATATTTACATTTCCTTTATTGCACAGTCTGTTTAATTTATATTTCCTGTTCTGTTAATAGTCTTCTAAACTGTGCAGGAGCCTCCTGTGTGTGTGATTAAAGAAAAACTATAGTGCCAGGAAAACAAATCCCTATAGTGCTCCAGTCCGTCACAGCACCCTATCCTCCCCTTGTGGTGCAGAAGTGGTTAAAAACCCCTTCTGTCACTTAGCTGGTTCAGGCTGCAACTCTGCTCACAGTAAGCCGCGCTTGCATTAGGACTTCCCCCATAGGAAAGTAGGAAAGCATTATACAGGTTGTGGGGGATGCTGGATGTTCTCATGCAGAACGTGAAGACATCCAGCATCAGTTAGGCGACCAAGAGTCGCCTAACGACCCAGAAGTCCCTCTAGTAACTTTCTGGTAGACAGTCACTAGAGGTGGAGTTAATTCTCAAAGGTAATTATTGTAGTTTATTAAAAACTGCAATGATTACTTTTACAGGGTTAAGGGACTTGGGACAGTGCACCCAGACCACTGCAATGAGCTGAAGTGGTCTGGGTGCCTATAGTGTCCCTTTAAAGTTCTATTTACAAAGCAGGATATAAAAACGTATAAAGCTAGTTAACAACTGATTGCAAATTAAACCATTTTTTTCATGCAGGCTGGGTCAGTCACAGCCCATGGAGGTGTGGCCAGGGATGTATTTACCTCAAGACAAACAAGGCATTTGCCTAGGGCGGCACTTTCAAGGGGGCTCCAAAAAACGCCACCCCAAACTCCCAAACAAATGCCTTGTTTGCCTCATGTCCTGGGTCTGTCTTTCTTAGGCCACCCTCCCACCCCCTCTGCCCCAAGGTGTTAACCTACTAATATTCTAGCCAGGCGGCAAGGAAGCGCTGTCCTCCACTCTTCTTGCTCTCTCACGCTCTGTGAGTGAGTGTAGCTGTCAGTGCATGTGTAGCTGTCAGTGTGTGTCGGTGAGTGCGTGAAAGTGTGTGTCTGTCAGAGTGTGTCAAAACAGTGAAGATGGGTATGTCTGTGTGTGTATGTCAGTGTGTCTGTCATTTTATGTGTATCTGAGAGTGCGTGTCTGTCAGTGAGTGGGTGTGTCAGTGTGTGTCTGTCAGTGAAAGTGTGTGTTGGTTAAACAGTGTGTGTGTGCCAATGACTGTATGTGTGTGCCAGTGACTGTGCATTTGCAATTGAGTGTATGTCAGTGCATTTATCAATTAGGGCCTGTGTCTGTCAGTCAAAAAAGTGGCCTTGACACAAATTGGGGGGGTAAATTAAGATTTGGGGGGTGCCCAAATTTAGTTGTGCCTAAGGCAGCACAAATCCAAAATACACCACTGAGTGTGGCTGGGGCTGCATAAACAGAAACAAAAGTGATTTAACTCCTAAATGGCAGTGAATTGAGCAGTAAAGCTTCAGAGACATGATCTATACATCAAACTGCTTTATTAAGCTAAAGTTGTTTTGATGCCTATAGTATCCTTTCAAGTATGACATGTTACTTATTGACAACTTTTTATTAGGTCACAAGTTATTTGATTTGGCTGCTTTTTAGCCTTTTAGGGAACGTACTGGGATTAGTTTACCCAGTTTCTCTCATTTAATAAAACGTGACAACTCTAGACTAGATTGGACTTTTGCGATTTCATCTGTCTATGATATTGTTTTTTTAGGATTAATCAATTTTAGAATTTAGTGGGTTATTTAGAACCTGGAGGGTGCCTTTAATATACTTTTTAAGTCATTGATAGGCATTTTGACCCTTCACTTGCATGATTATTTTACCTTTCTACACTACCCTGAGATAGAGATAACTGATTCTTCCTCTCGCACTCAGACTCTTGGTTGCGTCTTAACTTCTGGTAGTGATTGCATCAACAACCATCCCATGACAGTGTCAAAATGTCAAACAATAAGCTGTTTCCTGTATTCATTGCCTCCAAATAAACCATATGCCTACCCAAACATTTGTTACTCAGCCAGATGGACCTTCACAGTTGAGAATTAATGTTTGGAATCCTCATGCCTATTGCACAATCCCTTAGAGTGGATGATGCGGAATCATGTGGTTGTCTTTGCTCTGTCACTAAGAGACACATCTGGCGACACACTCCCCACTCTCGGAGCATGCACTGGCAGAATGGACAGCAGAGGTCTTAATATAGACTCTCGGAATAAGACAGGAAGTCATATGATGAAAGCATGGGGCACTGTAAGACATCCAAATGTTACAAAAACAGAGGTTAATGTCAATTGTTTCTAAAGTGACTTTAACCCCACTTTCTTTTACTCTCTCTTTTAGCATATTTTATATCATTTTTTTTTACATATGTTACACTCTGATATATAAATATTACAAAAATAATGTATGAATGCTTTTTGATGTTTAAACAACATTAAAAAATAAAAAGCTTTGTGCCCCTTACAATATACCTATTGTGGAACACACAGCTTTAGATGAAAGGCCATAAAGTTTCATATATACATTGTACTATCAGACTTTACCAAATGTTTATATTTTTAAATGTCTACATATAAATTTGGTCTCTAGTCACTTGTCGATCAGTTCTTGGCACAGATGGGTATGCTGAGAGCAAAGGTCTGAGTGCTGAAAGGGGCCTCCTTCCCCTTTCCCAGTAAATACTGCATACAAAGCGCATGCACAGGAAGCATGCGCTGTCTACGACAGGTTCACTTTTAAGCTATTGAGTGGTGTAGTCATGGGATCTTCCATAATGAACCTAGTATAAGTTGTATATCATCTACGTTATAGCCTGGGAACAAGTTCTAACTACATCCTAAACCTCAGAAGAGATGAAGAATATCTCAGGGTCAGGCACTCCATCTGAACTATACAACTCTAATTTCAGATCTGCTCACATCACTCCTGTGCACGCCCACAAGGATTTTAGGTCCTGCGTGTGATGGCTATTAAGTCTCCGTAGCAGCATCATGTTTATTTGTCCTATTTCCTAAAAAATGACATTAATTTTTATTGAATTATTTTGTTTTTTCATACCAGTGTTTCTCCATTCATCTCAGTGCTAAATAACACACACCCCTTTTGGCTCACAATCAGAATCACTGTCGATCAATGCCACAAATTTGTATTTAAACGTTCGTCATTCTAATTTAACCAATGAAAGTCAAAGAATCATGGACAATGTAGTTCAATAATAGATAAACGACTACATTTAGAACTCCCAAGCAGTGAGGTTGGCAGTTTTCTTAGAGTAATTCTCTTGCTGGGCATTCTGTTTACATTACTGGGCACAATGCACCTGTTTTGTAGAGCCAGCATCATCACCTTTGGTTTTATGAGTCTTTAAACAATATTTGTTTCATTTCCACTCTTAAAGCACGTATAGTATCAGCATGTTCTACAGGAATGACTCCAGCAAGGAGCCGTATGAATTGGGGCTACCAGGGTGCACATCTCCCTGCCCACTGGAACACTTCACCCAGCTAACAGCGCCATTCATTCCACAGGACTGGAGGAAAGAATGCCAAGTAACAGAGCAGAGTCAGCGATCAGGTACGCAGGTGATAGTTATCGGTCTAGCCATCAGAGTATGAAGTATATCAGTTCAGGGACAGGACTTGGCAGCATATGCTCTCAATTTGCTGTATTGTTCCAATAGTTGCGGATCTTAGTGATGTGATAAGACAGAGGTAAAGTAAGGATAATGTTTTTTTCTGCTAACGTAACCTGATGAGAAAATTCTCTCTAAACTTCTGTACCTCCTTTAGACCTTTTTTATTTTATTTTATAGGATTTAGTGTCATTAGGGATTCCCTAAGCTTTCACCTTGTACAACTCCAGGTCCATGATCACAATCTCCCGTCCCTTATGTGAATGTCTTATGCTTGTCTTCTTTTGAAATTGCTTTCAGAATTATCCCTCCATTATTTAATCGTAAAAAATTCTAGTGCTTAAAGTTATTTTACTTACACACTTCTAACGAAGAGACCAAATTACATTCCGAAAATGGTAGTCTCTGTAGTCATGGCAAAAAGATATGTTACAATATGGACTTTCCTTTGCAGATGTCACCACTGTGGCTTTGTCAATCACTGTTGGAGTCCTTGGAGTATTACTGATAGCAGTGCTGTTTTGGGGCTGGAGAATGCACACGGCTACAACATGGAGTCATCAGAACGCTTAAGCTTCACAAGGACTATGCAGACAAATCTTTAAATAGGCAACATTCCTAAAGAGGTGGCTGACTAAAATATTACTTGATCTTTGGTGGCTCAGACATCTAAACACAACCCTCCTATGTGAATGGAAAGAACCTAAAATGCAAAAATTTAGAACTTGTGAGGTCATGGGTGGAGATATGGCAACCCAGTACACCAGGTTGCTGCTGGGGAAATGGCCAGATGTTCTGGAATCCCGTGGCACATGGCCCTTTTGATTACTTTAGTGTGCCATGATAGAGGGACAGGGGCCCCATATCAGGACTGTTGGAAAGATTATACATTTTTACATACGGGCTCAAACTTATGTACAACCCCGTTACCGTTTATCCTTGAAATCCTTTATGACTGCAAATTAGATTCCTGGCTAATCATGGCAGCATCACTTATGGATAGCTCCTCCCTTAGCAGTAACAGGACAAGAATTAATTAGATTAATTAATTAGACTAATAGGTACAAAGAGTCACTCCTCCCCTTACACCACAGTCTTCTTTCATGTCCTTAGCTGATTCTACAGGACTTAAAACACTTTTCATTTTTGGCCACCTTCCTGTGTTTGTCGTGGGTTCGTTCCAAATGAGGTTCAGCCTCTCTTCACTTGAAGGACCCAGTAAACAGCCTGCATGAGCAGGATTTCTTGGGTCAGGTTCAGTGTCAGTACTGAACTGCTGCGTGGGAGTTATATTTCGTGTTCTGAGGGAGACACAGCTACAAGGTATTTCATGGGGTTGGGCCTCCTTAAAAATTCCCCCTTTTTTTGGCATTACTCTTAAAAATTGGGGCCTAATCCCTCCCAGTGGCAGTTTATTGGGATCCATACTAGTGTGGGGTCCTCCAGTTGGAGAGATCCATTGTAGGGACGCTCTTCTTTGCCTACTTTTTGTCCTTGTTTTACCTGTCTTTGGCTCTCTGTATTGATTGCTGGGGCTCTCTGCCACTGATCATTCCATTTTCGATCGCTGGAACATGGGAGTGCGTTCCAGCTGGCGGAAGTGACATCTTGGCCATATTCCTCTGGACCGGAAGTGATGCGGGGTTCGCGCGGGTATGACGTGAGCACATGGAGCACATAGCTTGCGTTCCAGCGTTCTGCGCATGCGCGCAACTACCATTTCCCCCGGCACTATTTAAATCTGAGTGATCTGAGTCTCTGTGTGCATGCTGCATATGCTGATAGTGATCCTGAGCGCACTGCTTCACCTGATTTGGTTCAGTGCATTGAAGTTGGAATTTTTCCTTTCCGTGGCTGCCTAAATTGTGTCTCATTGTCAAAAGGTGGGCCTTTTCTCCTTGTGATTTTTAAACTTTACTTGACATTCAGTTTTGCTTCTGAATTTTGATGGGATGTGTTTTGGGGTCTTTTGACATTTCTTTTGAGTCCCATTTTAGTATGGATTCTCCCTCTGCCTCTGCAACATCGCTCTCTAGAAAACATAGGCGAGCCAATCATTTTTAATATTCTGGAGGGTTTTAAAAGAGTGCCAGATTGAGCCTGTGATAAATGTTTATATATGGCTTTGTTTCAGCCCCAGCAAACAATTGGATTCACCCCCAAGAAAATTAGGGGATAAAACCAATAAATGTGTTAACTGTTCGTCCTCTGCACCTCAGGGAAGGAACCTCTGCAGAGAATACTTATTGGAAATAGCAGATGCTTCCAATAGGATTTCCCAACAGGACGACCTTAAACTCTGAATTTCCCAAGCTATTGCTGAGGAATTTAAGTCTACCCCGAATAAAGGTGGTCCATGTAAGAGACGCAGAGCGGAACCTCATTCTTCTAGCTCTGAAGAAGACCCTGATATGTGGGAGGTCTCAGATGATGGTGAGGAGGAAGTTGAATATACCTTCAGGTCTCTTGACTCTAAGTCAATTAATAGGCTGATTACCCATATCAGGGACACTCTTAGTCTCGCAGAAGAGAATTCAGAGTTGAAAGAGGCTGACAGGTTCTTTGAGGACCTAAAGCCTAATAGGCCAACATTTCCAGTGCATTATTCAATCAGGGACACCATCCTTCAAGAATGGAACAAGCTGGAAAGAAAATCCACCTTAAAGAATAAGTTTACAAGGATATATCCTTACTCTGCCAGTGACTGCAAAGTATGGAACTCAGTACCAAAAATAGATGCTGCCGTGATTCATATGGCTAAGAAAACTGCGCTCCCCATTGACTCCATGCCCTACCTTAGAGAACCTATGGAAAAACGTATGGATGGCGATCTCATAAAATCTTATCTAGCCCTAGGCTCGGCCCTCCATCCTGCGGTGTCTCTAACCACTCTCCGAAGGGCGTTAAGAGCATGGCTCACAAATCTGGAGGAGGACATTGACCATAGAGTTCGCAGGGAACATCTCCTGGAAAAAGTCTCAAGGACTTCAGCCTTGCTACAGAATTCTGCTCAGAAGCCTCTCTAGACATCACTTGTATGATTGCTAAAAGTATGGCCCTGTGTGTGGCCTCTAGAAGGGCCGTATGGCTTCATTCATGGAGAGCCAACTATGCCTCCAAGGCATCCCTCCATTCCAGGGGGATTTATTATTCGGTAAGATTCTGGAGGACGCCATACAAAAGGCTGCAGATGGCAAAAAAAGCTTTTTTGCCGCAAGAAAGAATAAAGACTTTTTCCTCTTCCGGGAAGACTAAACGCTTCAAGGATCGGTCCTTTCGGGACAGCAGAAGGTATAAACCAGGAAGGGAGTATTCTAGAAATTTACCTTGGAAAAGCTTCTCCCATTCATCGACCAATAAGGCTTCCAGAGGGAGAGGATCTAAAACCTCTGGGAAGAACTTCTGAAGGTCTTCAGGCCCATTCAGGGATTGTGGGAGGAAGACTAAGGTTCTTCTACCTCTTCTTCTATCACAGATATCTGGGTCAATTCCATCATTAAAGAAGGTTACAGGATAGAGTTCTTCTCTTACCCATAATCCACTGTCTTCCGGAAGTCGAGGGTGTTGATGGGCATCAAACAAAGAGCCATGAGGAATTGCATCTCTACTCTTCAGGAACAAAGGGTTATAGAAGAAGTTCCGAAAGAGGAAAGGCTCAAAGGAGTTTACTCCAGTGTTTTGGCTCCAAAACCCCAAGGAAAATGGCGTCTAATCCTGAACTAAAAAGGGGTGAACTCCATGCTCGACGTGAGAACACTTGGCACCAAGAACGTTCTCAAAAGTTCTTGTCACTTTGATAGCCTTCATAAGAGTAGGAGGTATCGAAATCTTCCATTACTTGGACGATATTCTCATCATAGGTCCATCCCAAAAGATAGTGGCTCATCACACTCTAGTGACGATGAACATTCTTCAAGATCACGGTTGGCTTCTGAATGTAGAGAGGAGCTCCCTAATTAATTCCTTCTCAAAAAATTTTATTCCTTGGAGCAGTGATAGACATGATCTCAGCCCATGTGTTTCTCTCCCCAGAAAGGGCCCTAAAAATCAGAAAACTACAATATCTCAAAACAGCCTCAGCGAGAGAAGTCATAAGTCTCCTAGGTTCTTTGACATTAACAATTGGGCTGGTAAAATGGGCCCAATGGAAGTTTTGTCATATTCAGAATGGTTTCCTTCTTCGATTCAACAGAGCAGAAACAGATTGGGAGCAAAGGATAACTTTGCTCCTGCCGGTAAGAAAAGGGTTGAACTGGTGGTGGGGCAAGAAGAATTTGGCGAAAGGCTTCCCGTTAGAGGAACCTCCTTGGAACGTTATTACAACAGATGCAAGCTCTTTTGGATGGGGTGCCCACTTCAATTCCACATGGAAACAAGGGAAGGGGACCCGAAAAGAGAGCCGTGTACTCTAAAATTTAAGGGCGCTATGGGCCATTTAAAGAGCCATATTGGAATTCCTTCCGATGATCAAAAAATCTTGGGTCCTGATGAAAACGGACAACCGAGCAGTTGCCTTGTATGTAAACAACCAAGGAGGCACAAGAAGTATCTTGCTCTTGAAAGAACTAGCTCCCTTGATGAAAGTGGCCATGTACAGTCTCCAAGGTCTAAAGGCAATCTATCTTCCAGGTTCAGAGAACGTTACTGAGGACTTCCTCAGCAAAACAGAAATTCTTCCAGAAGAATAGAGGCGTCACCCAGCAGTTTTCTCATGGATTGCAGATCATCCTGATGGCGACTTACCAGAATTGTCAGGTAGAGAATTACTACTCTCTCCGTCCAGACAATAGGGCGATGGGCCAGAATGCTCTCTCCCTTCTTTGGTCGTTCGATCTGGGGTATGCGGTCCCTCCACTATCCATGATACCCTGGTTTGGATGGAAGGAAAAAAAGTAATTGCCTTATTCTAGATCTGGCTTCGAAGGCCATGGTTTCCTTTCTTAACCATGATGAGTCAGGAACGGCCTTGGCCTCTTCCGATAATGAAGGATCTGCTGACTCAGGGCCCAACTTCCCATACTCATCCAGAACACCTCAAGTTGGGGGTGTCGGTTTTAAAAAGGAAAGACTTCGGGGGCGTGGCCTGACTGTGCAGCAGTGCAGACGCACAAACCGAGAGCTCCTGGGCCTCAGACCAATTACTGGCTGAAATCGGGGGCAAACTAAGTAATCCTGATCCCCAATTCATCACAACTTGATCGGCAGACATTGATGAACAGGGGGATACCTCACACGCCCAGAAATAACGCCGGAATGACCAAGCTGAGGCTTGGGGCCTATACCAAGCAGGGCAATGGAGAGGCGGCCGCTCTCCCAGCCCATAACCGCATGCAGCACCCGCAGCACAAGGCTACCCCCCCCCCTTAGGACCGGTGGGGGTTATCCCGGTCCCAATCACCTCGACGGGCAAGCCCCAGTGGACCCTAAAAGCGGACACCGACCCCATCCACGCACCGAACTTGCATGCAGCCGGCCATGTCAAAATGGCAGACACGCAGCCTCGTGGACAACCTGGGCCTCCACCACTAAGCCCCAACACAAGCGACTCCCTCACTACCCGCCTAGACGGGCTGTTTGAGGCCTTCTGGGCAAAGATCGCGGCCCGACATAAGGAAGAGCGATCCAAGCTGCTAGAGATCGGAGGTACGGAGGGCCAACAAGGCGACACAGTTTGGAGTGGGACCAGACTGCCTTTGGGCAAAGCCATGAAAACTCAGTCCAAGAATCTCCACACCAGCCCATCTGGGCCCAGGCCAACAGGGGATTAACCCCGATGCATCAACCACGTAGGCAGAGTTCCACCCGCCGACGGCGGCATACCACCAACCCCAGGAACTCTAGACCTACCCCGAAAACTTGGCCTTCAATAGTCCCCGAGTCCGTGGCTACAAGATGCCGGCCCTGATACAGGCCCGGAGCGAGAAGGCACCTCTGGTTAGCTCCTGGCCGACCGCCAACCTCTACACTACCCCACGCAAGCCCCAGAGGGCACAGCAGCGCGCACCCGTGGCGAAAGCTCTACCAGCACGCAAGCAACAGAGCCCAACGAAGCCACCAGCAGCACGGAGATGGGAAATATCAAAGGACAAACCTCAGCCCTGCATCAAACCTTGCAAGCCGTGGAGAGTCGGGTCCCTGACCACAAATCAGCACAGCCTCAAACCTGGGACACAAACTGGTAACAACGTACCCTTCCTAACCAGCGTCTGGAAACGCCATAGCAGGATAGCAGAGCAGCTGGATTCCGGTAAACGACCGCTAAGCGGCATCGGTTGACTGAGCCTGGCAATACCAAGCACCAAGCAGCGCAGAGCCTGGGCCGCTTTTATCATATATTTTTTCTTTTTTCGCTTCTCAAATTTAAACTGGCCCACTGCTGATTGACTCTGAGTTGCATGACTGCGCTGACTTATTCTTCTGATTATAATTATTGTTTTTATTTGAATTGTCTAGGCCTCACGTAAATATCCAGTGACTGCCATACGCCCGCTGGGAACGTGCTTTTAGCTAACTGGGGGGCCCCCTAGGGGTTAAACTCGTAGAAAAGACATCTGTTTCACTCTCCTTGTAAAATACTCGTGCCACAGAAATCCCTGGGTTAAGCTTGTATACTCTACCTTTTATTAACATAGGGTTTCTAGCCTGTATTTTTCTAAGTCTTACAACACAATCTATGATTCAGCCTGTTTCTTTATACTAAAAAAGTGCAACTGTTTTAAATGTCATGGCAATATATGTAAATGTTTGACCATAATAAGCCCGCGGATGCTGTCGTGGCTATGTGAGCTTGTATGTTATTCTTTTACTGCACACTAAAATAAAGATTTTTAAAAAAAAAACAAAAAAAAAAGGAAAGACTTCGACAATTAGGCCTTTCGGAAGCAGTGGTCAATACCCTTTTGCGGTCTAGGGAGGGTTCTACTTCCTCGTGCTACCATAGAATCTGGATATATTCAGAGAATGGGCATCGGCTGAGAACATTGACTTCACAATACTCAGATCCTGGATTTCCTCCAAGAAGGTCTGGACAAAGGCCCCTCCTTGGGACCTTCCTCTTGTTCTCAACTTCCTGACTGATGATCTGTTCGTTCCACTTGAAAATTTGGATACTACCCTTCTGACTTACAAGACTTTGTTTTTGGTGGCTATTACTTCCACAAGAAGAATTTTAGAGATTAAAGCCTTTTCTACCATGTCTTCCTGCCTACAGATCTGTGAAGAAAATAACCTTTTAATTCGTGACTTTTATGTTCGGTAGTTTAACCCCTTAAGGACCAAACTTCTGGAATAAAAAGGAATCATGACATGTCACACATGTCACGTGTCCTTAAGGGGTTAAACTATCGAACACCGACCACCCCCCTGGATAATTATCTACAAAGGGAAACTGTAGATAGAGCACGCTCTCTCTGGGTGGCCGCCGTTCGTATAGCCGAACTCCACGTGTGGGAGAAAATGGCGGCCATCTTGTTTGCACGAAAGGAGGCAGCGGGACTTTGTCGTCGAGTGTCTGGAACTAAAATCGGACACTCGACTTCCCGAACACCGGTAAAAACATACGAACACCTGCTTTCTTTTCCTGAACAGCTAGGAGAGCGCTGTTCGGTAGTTTTGTTCCCACGACATTGTCGAAATAGACCGACTGCACAGCCTAAACTCATGGAACTGTTTTGGGCAGGAGCCTCGTGTGCAGTCGGTCAAATGTGACTTCCATGAAATTCGAAAACTCCTGAACTGATCTGGGTGATTTTTGGATATGTTGGTCACCCAGATCAGGGCTATCAGGAGATGTGACATTTATGGGGGTCCTGTATGTCTTGGGGTGTTTTCCAAGTATTCTGGAAAATCGTCTTCTCTCTGCCTGGAGATAATTAAGTTATTACTTTATCTGACCCAATTATCTCCAGGCAGAGAGGAGGGAATTAACTGTTTTTACTGGGAGTGTCACTGTTTGTCCCTGCATTGTCATTGGCTGTATTAAGTTATGTCCCTGTTCCATCAGGTCCAGGGGGTGTTCCTCTGGCGTGGAGAATTGCATAAAAGCCAGTGTGGCACAATAAAGCTTCATTCCTGTTGTACCCTTCATGAAGTCTAGGCTCATGTTTAGGTAGCTGTCTACTTGCTGGGGAGAAAGTACTTGAATGCTGCATTCGTCTGGAACTATTCACATCTACACCCGAACTGCAACTATAATCACTACGGCTTAGCAGTTCGGGAGGAATAGGCGAACAAGGTACTTAAAATACTAGTGTTCGTAACAAAATCTATCAGGATAGGGTGTGTCTGAAACCAAAACCTAAGTTTCTTCCTAACGCGGTCTCTGTCTCATCTCTCGCAAGTGGTCCTTCCATCATTCTATCCCAATCCAACTTCTAATGAATAAGTTAGGTGGCAACGTTTGGATGTTAAGAACTGTCTGTGTCAATACCTTTTTCGTTCTAAGTCATACAGGAAGACTGACCAACTCTTCGTTCTACCTTCAGGAGCTAGGAGACGCGACGCAGCTTCTTTATCTACGTTGAAATGTTGGATTTTGCTAATAATCAGGAAAGTGTCAGTCTATAAAGGCTCCTCCAATAAAGATAGGAACACATTCTACCAGAGCATTGTCGACTTCATGGGCTAATTGGGCATAGATTCCATACAATATTTGCAGAGCAGCCACCTGGTCTTCCCCGATGTTGTTCATAAAACACTACAAACTGGACGTGGCCTTTCCTTCCACCTCTTTTGGGAAGTGTTCTGTCCACGGTTTCTTTATCCCACCAATATTAACTTTCTTTGCAGCACGAGTGTCTGCATAATCTTTTTATCGGTTTCTTTATTCCCACCCTATATTTCTGTGAGCTTGGGTATAACCCATAAGTGATGCTGCTATGATTAGCCAGGAATCGAGAAAATGTATGACAAACTTACCATAATTTTCTTTTCCTGGCTATTTCTCATGTCAGCATCAGGGTTCCCGTACATGCCTTTATTTTATTTTTTTCCCCAGCTTTATAATTGGACTGTGGTGTAAGGGGAGGAGGTACTCTTTATACCTATCAGTCTAATTAATTCCTGTCCTGTGACTGCTAAGGGAGGAGCTACCCATAAGTGATGCTGCCATGAGAAATAGCCAAGAAAAGAAAATTACTGTAAGTTTGCCATAAATTTCCTCTTACTCTTTAGGTTAGCAAGTTGCTAGTGACCACTTTTACTGCCATGATTAGCCTGGTTTTTCCATATTAAGATATACCCAAAATGCGATAAACCCATGCAAGTAGAAAATTATCTTCAGTGTTCATCTACAGGTAACAATTATTTGTTTGTCATATTTGTATGTTATTTCACTGTTGCCTCCAATATCACCTCCCCTATAAAATGTTTAAGCATTTCTCGTAAAGTAGTCCCTGAAAAAGGAGTAACAGTTTCTTATTCTTCTACTATCTCCACAAAGGGGTTTATTTTTTTAATATTCCAAATTGCAACATTAACCCCTTAAGACCGGAGGGCATACTATTACGCCCTATTCTAAGCGGCTCTAAACGCCGCCGGGCGTAATAGTACGCCCTTCGGTTTTTCGGTACTTACCCGGTCGCCGGCGATTCCACGCCAGCGATCGC